AGCGACAGGACTGTACACCCACGCTACCTAGGCCAGCTATGCCACGCAATGGGCACGTTCTTCCGTCACGTTGCATCTTCGGGAATTCCTTCACTAATCCATCACGTTGCTATTTGCTCAATCAGCAGAAAACCCGCATCGAATCCACATCGAATCCACATCGAATCCGCAATTCGCAAGACAGGAGGACCCCCCGAAGCAGCAGCGCAACAACTGACCGTGACCCCCCAATTGCCCTCATCGTGTTCAGATCCGATCCTCGCCCACCCGATATGGTCCCCGCCGACCTCGCCGACCCGATGCGATCCACGCCGAGCCCGCCGATCCGAGCCCATCCGATGCTCGCCGACCTTGCCCAGCCGATCCGATGCTCGCCGAGCCGATCGCGAGCCGATCCGATCCACGCCGAGCCGATAGCGAGACGATCCGATCCTCGCCGAGCCGATCGCGAGCGCAGCCGATCCTCGCCGACCTCGCCGGGCCGCTCCGATCCTCGCCGGGCCCGCCGAGCCGAGCCGAGCCGACCGCGAGCGCGAGCCGACATCGCGAGCCGATCGCCGAGCCCGCGGCGGGCCACACCGCGTGGCCGCCGCGCACGAGGGCCGCCGCCGCCGCAGGCAGGGCGGCCTCGGGGACGAGCAGCGCATCGGTGCCGAAGGCCGAGAGCAGGCGAACGCCCGCGGAGACCTCCGCGCAGGCGCCGCGGGGCACGGCCGACGACGACGACGACGACGACGACGACGACGACGACGACGACGACGACGACGACGACGACGACGACGACGAAGGCGGCAACGACGACGAGGGCGGCAGCGGCGGAGACGGCGACGGCAACGAGCGCGGCGGCGACGACGACGACGGCGACGACGGCGACGACGGCGGCGACGGCGACGACGATGACGACGGCGAGCGCGACGGCGGCGGCGGCAGAGACGAAGACGACGTTGCGGAGGCTGCCGCCACGGCTGGATGCAGCCGGATGCCCGCGGACACCTGCACGGCACCGCGCGGCGGGGAGGGCGGCGGCAAAGACGGCACCGGCGTCGACGGATGCCCCACCCGACAGGCTGGGTCTGCTAGACTTGGAGTCAGGTCGGGCCTGTCCCCCTACAGGCGGATTTTGGGGCAAAAAAGTTAAACATAGTCCACACATACGCCCAAAATGCTAAAGATGGTCGAATCATCGTCCCCAGACTGTTTTTTGACTATATTTGAATCTTCCCCCTGAAGAGGGGCAGGCCCGACGTAAACTTGGAGAAGAAGCTCCCGACCCGCCTTGCACAGTCTGCGCAACACCGCGGCCGCCAGGCCCCGAGAGAGGCCCGCGGCTCCCCGGGCAGCCCGCCTCGCGGCCTCCGACGAGAGTGCCGGCGGCACGACGCGGCCGCCCCGCCATCAGGGGCCTGGTGCTCCCTTAGAGACCTCCCAGATGGGGTCCGAGCAGATGGGGCCGAAGGATCGCACCGCACCGCCGATGCATCGCCGATGCATCGGCGACGGCGGAGACGCATCGGCGACGTCGGCGTGGAGAAAATCGGGCTCCGCATCGACACGCATAGTCGATGCATCGGCGATGCAGCGCGATCCTCCGACCCCATCTACTCCGACCCCATCTAGGAGGCCTGGGTATCTCAGTCTCTCGCCTCGCGTGCTCGAGCGGGGATCGCTCGAGGCAGAAGCAGTGCTTCCATCCCAGCGTTTGTCCTGAGTTTCGGCCTCCAGGGGTGACCGCCTGCGGGCCGCGAGGGTCCCTCGGGATCGCATCGGGTGTGAAGAGCTGCCCCCGGGGAAGGGGCCGGAAGCGCTCCGTGGCCGCTGCTGGGACAGGCAAGGATGTCTGGGGAGATGGCGGCGACGACTTCGCTGCCGAGGAGCCCCGCGGACACCTCTGCGGCCCGCCAAGGCAGGAGCAAGGACCGCCGGCACTGCAACCGCCACCACCGCTGTTCCTGGTGGTATGCCCCCCCTGCTCTGCGCCGTATCGATCGAGGCACCTACAATCTCCAGCTCGGGAAGGCACTCGTAGGCCTCCGGGATGGGGTCCGAGTAGATGGGGTCGGAGGATCGCTCCGCATCTCCGATGCATCGGCGATGCATCCTCGCCGTCGGCGTGGAGAAAATCGGGATCCACACCGAACCGCAATCGCCGATGCATCGGCGATGCGGCGCGTTCCTCCGACCCCGCCTGCTCGAACCCCATCTGGGAGGCCTGAAGGTGAAGGTGGTCCGTTGCAGTGAAGCGCTGAAGTGAAGTGGGCCCAAGTGCGAGGAGGGGGCGAGGAGGAACGAGGAGGAAGAGGAGGAGGAGAAGGAGGAGGAGGAGGAGGTGCATCCGGTGAAGGTGGTCTGGTGGATGCGGCGGCGACGGCAGCGTCGTTGCGGTGGCTCTCGCCGCCACGGCCAGGTGCAGCCGGGCCAAGGCGGAGACCCCCGCGGCCCCGCAGGACGGGGGCGGCGGCGGCGACGACGACGACGAGGACGAGGACGAGGACGACGAGGACGACGAGGACGACGAGGACGACGAGGACGACGAGGGCGACGACGGCGGCGACATTCACGATCTCCGCAGGGTCGGCGTTTTCAGCCCCACTTGTTTCGTCCATCCCTTTGGCCCCAGAAGGCCCTCTGTGGGGGCCGTGAGGCTCTGGGGGCGGACCTGCTGAGTGATTGCACTCGGCCCGCCAGGATCGACGGGGAGGGGGGCAGACGTTCGCAGTCGAGCAGCGGCATGAGTGCGTGCCGGGTCGAGCGAAAGCCGGGGCGGGACCTGCTTGCTCTCAGTGAGCTGGCTGCCATCGTACAGTGCTCTTGCACGCACGCCGTTTGGCCGAAGAGCGCCACGGCACGAGCGCCAGACGTCCCTGCACCGAACAATAGCGCAACTCCATCTCGACGCCACATCCAGAGCAGGTTTGAGCGATTCGGACCGTATTCGAAGATCTGGAGGCCCTCTGGACCCAGGGCGGACGCAAAACTTCCCGACCACGACGACGACGACGACGACGACGACGACGACGACGACGACGACGACGACGGTGACACATTCGTTGCGCAGGTTTTACGGCGTTTCTGGAGGTGCTCGTCGCCACGGCTGGGCGCGATTCTCAAATACTGCAATGATGTGGATTGTGTGTCCCTCCTCCTCCCCCTCCTCCTCCTCCTCCTCCCCCTCCCCCTCCTCCTCCTCCTCCTCCTCCTCCCTCCTCCTCCCCCTCCCCTCCTCCTCCTCCTCCTCCTCCTCCCCTCCCCCTCCTCCCCCCTCCTCCTCCTCTCCCTCTTCCCCTCCTCCCCCTCCCCCTCCTCCCCCCCCCCTCTTCCTCCTCCTCCTCCTCCTCCTCCCGCTCTTCCTCCTCCTCCCCTCTTCTTCCCTCCTCCTCCCTCCTCCCCTGACCCATCCAGGGTGTTGAAAATTAGCCCTCCAGGCCTACAGCCCTGTAGACCTGACAGGACTGCTTTGACCCTCGTCCAGACTTCGGCTTCGAAAGCCCTGGTGATTTGCTGGCCCTCCTGGAAGGCCAGGATCCTCCTCATCCTCCTCGTCCTCTCGGCTTTTTTGTTTAACAAAAAAACTCCCTTGCGAAAACCTCCCCTCAGCGAATTCGGCCTGGGGCCGAAACCGACGGGCCTGGACCCGCAAAACGACTGCCGCGACGCCCTCTCGCGAACCGAAAACGGCCGATTCCTTAATCGACGTATCAGGGTAGGAGGTCTATCCACCTCCGATCCCCCCCTTTCGGGGCCTTCGGGGGCCCCCCTCCTGGACGCGGCCGTGAAAGACGGCCTAGAGACCGTTTTTTTGAATCGGCGATAACCCGGGTTGTCCTGGGGGAGGAGGAGGAGGAGGAGGAGGAGGAGGAGGAGGAGGAGGAGGAGGAGGAGGAGGAGGAGGAGGAGGAGGAGGAGGAGGAGGAGGAGGAGGAAGAGGAGGAGGAGGAGGAGGAGGAGGAAGAGGAGGAGGAGGAGGAGGAGGAGGAGAAGGAGGGGGCCGGCCGATAACCCAACCCTCGCGCTGTGGGCAGCCCTGCACATGCCCGCGCCCCTCCCCACCCCGGACCTGCACAACTGGCAAGGTTAGGTTATCCTGGGGGGGGTCCCGGAACTACTTCAAGCTACAAACTTCTAGCACGAGATTATGTTGAGACTTCATTGTGGCTTGCGAGCGCGTAGAAGAATAAAAGTGCGTAGCTACCTGTCTACCATCAGTAACGCCAGCGCTTCGCAGAGCTCCTCGGAATGTCAGGGCACTTCTGGATTCCTGGGATGGGAGGGGGGGGGCCGAGCCCGAGTAGCCGGGGTCATCGCCGCACCCTAGCAGACGGTCTCCTAGAGAGAGTGCTGCCCGGGGAAGCCCGGGAGGAGCCCCAGGGGCCCGAGGCGTCCGAGCGCGCCCGGCTGCCGCCCGAGCACACGGGGGGGCCGCGGGCGCGCCGCGTGCGGCGGGCCGCGCCTCCCTCGAAGCGGGCCTCCCGAGGCCGGGCTGGGTCACCAGCCTGGAGCATAGCCCTGGCCCTATGCTGGGCACCTCCTCCTCACGATGCCAATCTCAGGGGTTCTCTTATTTTTCGAGGGCGCATCCCTAAGGTTGTCATCGCCTTTTGGCGTGTCGGTCTCAGGGATAGGGATAAGTTCGAGGCTGGTAGCTGGGGCCCTGGTCGGGGAGACGTAAGGCTCGGGCGCAGGGCTGAACCTAAGCGGTGTTCTTCGTTTTCGGTTCGGTGCCGTTGTCCCTCGCTGTTGTCTCGAGTCCGCCCCTGCCTCAAGACGAAGTCGAAAGGACAACGGCCCACTGAACCGCCAAGAACACCGTTTAGGTCCAGCCCTGGACTCGGGTACGGGGGACTGGGGTTGGCCTGACGGGGCCATCATGAAAATGACGAGACCCAGTCCGAAACTCGACGCGAGCTCCCGCGGCACACGTCCCACGAACACAGGACCGTCAAAAGATCCCAAACGCGGTCGTCTAAAAATACGTCGGCGAACCCGAGTTCTGGCTCCCTCGAGTCTTGCGTTTCCCCGACCTGGGGCTCCTCCTCTTGCTCCTCATCCGCATCTCCCTTGTCCTCCTCACGAAAACAAGACCGTCAAAATCCAAAACGCGGTCGTCTAAAAAAACGTCGGCGAGCCCGAGTTCCGGCTCCCTGGAGTCTTGCGTCTCCCCGACCTGGGGCGCCTCCTCCTGCTCCTCGTCCGCATCCTTCCTTTTCCTCCTCGGTTCCTCCTCGTCGGGATGGTCGCGCGGTCGGGGCGCGGTGCGGGGGGCGGGGCGAGGGAGGGGGCAGGGGGGGGGGCGAGGGGGAAGGGCGGCCGCAGGTACACGATTGAAGGGGCCCCAGGACACACAAATAAATACACACAAATAAAAATAGTTTCCATATGTTCCCACATGTTCTGGGTTTTTGTCTTCCCCCCCACTTCCCATATTTTCCAATATTTTCTGGGAATCGACGATGACTTGTGTCTGTGTGTATTTTCCCCTCCTGAACAAGCACTGGTGCATGCTCTTTCGCTCCGCCTGTCCTGCAGGCGCGAGCGTCCAGGTCGCCCTGGCCCCAGAATCACAGGAGCGACGAAGAGAAACAGGTCATGCGCGAGAGGACTCAGCGGCCTTCTGCGGTGGCTCACGCGGGCCGCAGGCGCGGCACGCCCTCTTGGAGACGAGGGCGCTTACGCGCGACCTTACGCAGGAAGCT